ATATTTTAAGTTTCTAATACGGGTATAATCTTATTCAACTTACAATTTCCAAAATTTTGAATAACAAGTCATAATAGTAAATAAGGAACTGTTAGTTCCAAAATACGTCACAATTGTCTGTGGCGCTGGTGAATTTTTAAGCTTTTTTTCAACATCAAAATTAACAGGGTATTTTTTGTACAACCAACGCCACAGACTACAATGTTCTTCTTAAAAATCAATTCAACATTTTCCACATACTTTTAAATCTTAAGGCTAACAATTAAGATTTATAAAACCGAAATGTATAAAATTCTTATACAAAACAAGTTCGTATATGAATATTAGTCACAAAATGAAATCAAGACGGCTACATAATATTGGAGAACAAAAATTATTATAATTCCTATTTAACATAACCTTATCAATTCCTAAATGCTACAAAGCCATGATCTTAATTTTAAAGAGTATTGATTCTATGTTCGTAGTGACTCGTTTAGCTGATTAAATTTAAAAATACGTACAAAATTATGTACTAAATAGTCTTTTCATTCATAACCTATAGTTAATTTACAACATACGTTTGCATTTAAAAAAAACAACAAAACTATTTCTTATCTGTGCAGGCTGCTATGACAGCTGTCAAAATCAAAATTTGGCGGGAATGAAATGTGTGAAAATGCCATACACTTGTCAATTGACCGCCAGATCGAATGGTACAGGTTTATAATACATAATATACAATATAAATAGCCAAAATCATAAGATAGGTATTCAAAATCACAATACATATATTAGCAGCAAATACAATGAATTCTGTAGAGAAAAAAATATTCAATAAATTGCCTAGCGTATGGGTAAAACTTTAACATAGATAGATAGATAGTCTTAACCTTATCACTTAGACAATATAGTTGATTTTACACTGTCGGTGGAAAAATAACCGGAAATAAATTACTGTACTAGTATAACTTTAATACATAAAGAGGTTGGACTAAACTTTGCATAGACACATAATCTATTTCATAACTAACTCGCTAGCCGATACAATTTAATATGAAATAAAATCTTTTAAACTTAAAACATTAAAATATGCTTAATATTACATTAAAATAAATTATCACCTTAGAGATAAAAACAAAAATATCGTCTAGTAACACTGACTAGATTTTAAAATTCAATCTAATGTTTTTTATAAGGGCAACTCTAAGCGAACAAAATGTTGCCATGTGAATGAAACATAGGAGTATGGTGTATAATTCCTTTGGCAGTTATCAAAATTCATTATTATCAATTTTTAATATGAAAACTATGAGACTTCTGAACGTAGTATGCAATTAAGAAGAAATAAAACTTGATTCAGTATAGAGACATTAACAATTGTTTTTATGAGCCAACCAATGTGTTTTTATGGTATAGGCAGGCAAACTAGTAGACGGATTACCTGATGGTAAGCAATCATGGACACCCACAACACTAAAGGTATTACGATAAGGGTTTCGGATATTAGAGGATTGGGAAGTGATGGGGGTAGGACGGATTGAGCCTCCGGTAAACTCACTCACACGGCGTTCGTCACACGGCGAAACACAACGCTGTGTTTATTTAGCGCAAGTTTTCTGAGACCCTGTTATCGCTCCGGTCAAGCCGACCCATTCGTGCCCAAGCTTGGCTCTCCCACACTAATACTTACAAAAATCTCTACATCTCTATACCGAATTAATATTTTTGCCAAATAACAATGCAGGTTTAAAGAAACCAAGGCACAAGATGTTGCTTAGAGTACCTATGTATGACTTAAAATAAAATTGGTCTAGACAAAAAATAGGAGGAACAAAAACTGATGTAGATAAAAAAATATATATAACATTTAAAATCTATAACAGCTTTAGACAGTGTGAGTTTTAAATGACTGCTTTGTCGTTACTCAATGATTTTTGTCTTCGGTAGAATAACAATCGAAATACAGCATATTTATGAAGCTGAAGAGTTTGTTTGTTTTTTTGCGCTAATCTTCGGAACTACTGGTTCAAATTGGATATGTGATTGTCAGTCCATTTTGTGAAGGAAGACTTGGCTATAAGACATCACGCTATGATCTGTAGGAGCTGAGCATCGGATATAACCGCGTGAGAGTAGCTAGTAGGTACGTGATATTTGTGATGGAAGCAAACAAGAAGACGGATCGCCTGCTTGTAAATGACCCATGCCGCCCATGGGCACTTGCAATAATACCATGCATACTTTGAAGAAGGGATTTATCTCATTCATATCGCCTAGAATATCAGCTGATTCATAAGTGCGAGGCAACAACTTAATTTTTTTATAAATATTTATCGATGGTACAACCAAGATCAAGTTTTATAGACGTCCAAAGCCCGTCATGTAAAATTCACACTCTAAAATGGTTTATGAAATCAGAATGGAGGCAATCATATTTTTACTCAATAGATGGCGTTAGGTTCTTTATCCAATCACTTTAATATAATACAAAAGTTAACATTAAAATTTTTGTGTTTGGAGTGCCCCTATTATCCAAGTCACTGTAGCCTTTAAAAAGTGAATGTCTTAGCACTGGCTAATTCTCTGTTGGACGAAAAGGCCCTAATGCTACATTAACGCTATCTGTTGAGCAAATAACGATTCGATCATAGAAACAATTAATTTTCCGTTACTAGTTTAAAATATAAAAATAAAACTAAAAATGTTTTAGCGAAAAATGTACAGGCTAGTCGCTAGTCAATTCTGTGAAGCTGTATTTATTTAATTATAATAAAATAGGAACAGTTTTTCTCATAATTTTGGCACTTACAATCTCAATGAAAGTTTGTTTTTTTTTAATCTATGTGCATCTAGATTTGTGCAATCGATTTTCAATCTTAATGTATATACTTTTAATATAAATATCCAAATTTTTGTATCAATTCCGAGTATGATTTATTACCATAGTGTATTTGGGTGCGCTAGAGTCGAAAGAAGAAAACCTCATTGCATAAAAACCAATCAACAGAGAAGTAAATAGTCTATTTAAAATTCCAGAACATCTTTTGATATAATTAGGCATGTTAAGACATATTGACATCTCTTACTAACATTTGGAATAAGAAAGAGATAGAAGCTACATGCTAACTTATTATCAAACCATGCCAGAATTTATTTCATGAGGGATAAGCTAAATTCCACATGTTTTTTAATGGTTAAATGTTATACCCACTTTTCTCTAGTTATTTTTTAACTCACCATCTACTAAATAATAAAATCCCACGGGTTCATGTAATAGGGGAGGCGGGGTGGGGAATCTATTGCCATACACTGAACAAATTTTAGCTATGAACAGCCAAAAACTTCCGCGTTTTTTACGGAGTTTGGGAAAACATTAATTATAACACGATTGACTGCACAGTTGACGCAGTGGCTGGGTAACTTGGTGCTGTGCAACGTGTTGCAAGTTGGATCCTGCAAGGAACAACACTTTGTGTGATCCACAAATTGTTGTTACGGGTCTGGGGTGACTTGTGTATGCGAATTTGTATGTTTGTGACCACCACGACACATGAGAAAATCCTCATGTCACACTAACAACACTGACAGACTCAGGAATCGAATCCAAGGCCTCATATAAAGCAACATTATTTCGACAAAACATAGTGGAGATATTAATTTGATTTGTAGTTTATTTCTACAATAAGTTACTGTTTTTCTCAAGCTATCTTCCTATCTCTTTCACTCCTTCGTGTTAGAATGAGAGCATAAATATGTGTGTATATCAATTAGCCATATAAAACCAATCTGAAAAGTCCATGCACTTATCTTTATAAACTGTATTATACTATGAGGACGTTTGGTTTTTAAAGTAGATTTTTATTGCCATCTGAGGGCTGATACGAGAGGTCAGTTTTTTAAATGACTGGGTATTGAATATTATTTTGTTGGACAAGAGATCTCTCCGCACTAGCGATCCTGGCGGTATAAGACAAACACCCGGTTTCCGAAAGGGCGATCAATGTTAAAATCAATTTAATCTCTTATCATCTGATTGGTTGACTGAATTGTCAACAACCAATCAGATGACTTAACAAGAGATTTAACAGGAGATTAGTTAATTTTTTATTTAATGATTAGAAAGCCTTTCAGAAACCAGGTGAAAGACTAACCACTAGTCCAATTTATTAAGTCTTTTTAGTGTCTTTTTAACCGACTTTTTATATGCTTTTAATAGTGTAATTACTGTTATATTTATATATTAGTATCTACTTAATATTGGATAATTTCCAACCAGTCAAATTGAAGATCAGTTTCAAAATAATTTTGATGAAGATTAAGAGATTGTGAATTTAAAATAGGTATTGCATAACTACTTATTACTTTAAAATTTGCAACAGAAAAGCATATTAAGTGCATCTGCAATCAATAATCAGAAAATTCTAAATGGCTTGTTTTTAATAAAGGAATCTACATAATTGTGCGACCAAGAAACATATTACTACGGAGGGTTAGGCAAAAAAAAGATTTTGAATAATATGAAGCGGTGTCAAATTAAAACAGTTTTAATAAGGTACAGATAGGAAAATCAGTGAACATATATAAACATATATAAAACAAAGAAATGGTAACAATAGTCAAGATGACAAACATAAAACATTTTATACATAATCAAAAACAATATGTACATAGATATATCACACTGACATTTGTTTGCGCAACTGACTATAAGACTTGGATTTAATTCCCAGGTAAAGTAAACTTGGGGAGTGCAAGTGCTATTATGTACTGCGGGCCTGGCTTGGAGCAGGTGAAGAAAGGGGTAGTTCTAAGTCAGTAATTCAGTATGACTCTGTGACTCCTCCTCTCCCACCCAGAGCAGGATCAGAAGCCATTTCATGAATTTCCCAAAAAAAAGTTAAAAGTATTTTAAAGTCTGGAATAAAAAGAAGTCTGGAATTGATTTCCAGTGTTTGGCAATGGGCTTGACCCCTATTGAATGGAATTCACAGCTTGACTAGTGAAATATGGGAGTTATCTAACCCTTTAGAAGTGTGTTACAGTGAAAAATAGCTGCGCAAACATAAAAGTCAATTTTTATACAAAAAATATGTCAAGTTTTGAAAGGAATTCACTATAGTTATTTACAGGCAAGAGATTATTTCTCCTAATGGTCCCAGCATTATAATTCCTGTGGGTACCCTATATTTTATAATTATGTACAAGCCAAAATGAAACTTATGTCTTAGCATGAAAGTGTTGTTTTTTTTGCATACAGCACGACTAGTAAGAATAAGAAACTAGAATAGATGATGTGACTTCGAACGGTTTTATTCTAAGGTTCCAAAAACTGTTGACAGTCAATCAGTTCAAAACAAATGAAAAACGATGACATTAATAGATTTACAAATGAAAAAGCGAACGACTATTTATATCCTTGAGGTAATTTGACTAAGAACTAATAAGCTAAAAACGAAACGATAACCAAAGCGATTGTGACATTTAGCGTTACTCAACAAGTTTTTATACAATTAAATAAGTCAACGATTATAACCGCTAAAATGTCACAATCAATGAGCAAATTTTGTTCGCAACTAAACGCTGAACACTGTCTTTTGATTGCACGTCACTAGGTAACTGTCACTTTGACAGCTGTCATACGTGACAGCTGTCATTGCACGCACACCCACAGCATAACCTAACCATGATTCCATCAAAAATGTGACAAAAATTTCATTATTAATTCGGTTTTATATCCTAAATCATTTAATCTCACTCCTTTTCTCATGACCTGACACATTATAAATAAATTGACAAGGTACACATAGCCGAGATAATTTGAATGTCAATCAGTACATTGATATACAAGTACAAGTTTTAAATAATAAATTTAGTCATTATATGTTGCTTATCTACTATGACTGAAAGTTCTACCGAGGCAAGTGTTAGAATACTAAAAGTAATTGCTTACCGAAAAACCGTTTTTTATGAGAAGCCAGCGGTCTAGTAAAAACGCAGTTCCACTGTTCACTTTTTAACCTAAATCACTGTCACTTGGCTCACTGGGGCTGGATAAGATCCGCCATTTTCACTATGAATCGTCACTTTAATTCTTAGAGAGAGCACCATGCTGATTGGCCAGCCAAATACTGGTAACTGTCAAGGCTTGGAATCGTCTGAGCGTTTATGCTCGCTCTTTCTTTGGCTGAGTTTTTTCTTCATTTCTAATAGCATCTTATCAAAGGTCATGTCGTCGTCGTTCCGCATCGGGGGCAACGCTACTTGCCCGTGGAACGCGCTCTCGGTGTACTTGGCTTCAAGACCATCTATGGAGAAAAAGAGATAAATATGTTAATAAACATACACTAATTAGAAGAAATAGCATAAGAGGCATTTGCCCATTTAATTCTGTATAAAGAAATGATAATTATAATAAGGAGCTAAGAAATCTGATAGGCAAGAATCGATAGAAGAAGGCATTACTTGGCCAAGTAACTTGCGATAAGTCAGAAAGCGTTAAATATAAAAAGATAGGTAATATCTAACAATGTCAAGTAAAAATTTAGTCTGTAAATAATTACAGAATTGGTATGATTTTATCAGCTATGAATGTAAAAATAATAGACCTTTTAAAAAAAAACAAATTATCGAAAAAGCGGAGGCCTTAACCCATCCACATTTGAAGTTAAAAAATGAAAGGCCTTTTGAATAACAAATTATCGTTGAAAAGCTGTTACCTTTACCCATCCATATCTTAAGATCAAAACTAACCTTACCAACACAAGTTTTAATAAAGTATGTAATATGTACTATCCCAACTTAAAACATTTGAATTGTAAAATACAATGTGGTTACAAGACATAAACAGGCTTAAATAATTAAATAAAGTTACAAATAATGTAAAACAGAATGGACATCTCAAAAACTCACCAAGATCAGCATAGCTTTGTCTACAGAAGGCCCTTCTCCCTCCGAACCCGACGTCGTATTGTGGGAAGGAACTGGAAGCCTCGACTGCCGCCCAGGCGTCACGTGCCCGCTGGTACGTCACAAAACCGTATCTCGACCTGTTAAGAACATACAAATCTATAAAAAAATATATTCTGACTACATATTATATGAATTATTAGGTACTCGAAACTGTATTATCTTTGGAATAGAAAAACTTATGTTTTATCGCTACATAGTATAAAACATGGGTTGTGAGTTAATTTTTGTAATGGTATGGACACAATTTTATACATCATCAAAACCCAAAAAAGTGATATTTGTGATTGTGAGTGAATATTGCTCAATCATTGTTTTAATATTGAAAGAATAGTTTTTAAAAAAAAAAGAAATGTTGCCCCACATTAGTATTTTCCCCTGTGTCATAGGTGCGGTTATAAACATACAATTTCACATACACATGACACCCAGACCCGGAACAACAATTTGTGGATCACACAAAGAGTTGTTCCGTGCGGGAACCGAACCCGCGACACGTTGCACGGCAGCCAGTTGCCTAGCCACCGCACCAACCGTGTAGTCACAGTAAATAGATGATATTAGGATAACGAAAAAGAGGTTTATAATAAGTATTTATTATTATTAGTCTTGCAAGTATATTTTAAGAAGTATGCATATATTTATTCCCCTATATACACTTCTATTCAACACACAATTGAAAAATAGCGTGTACTTTTTTAACTGGACCAAAAACTCTGCTTCTTCTACAAGAACTATATAAGTGAACTTACCCATCCTCCTTGCTATGTAGCCGAACTTCCACAACATGGCCAAACTTGGAAAACTGGTTTTTCAAAGTCATTTTCGTTATATCTTTCTCTAACCGACCGACGAATACTATCCGACGTTCTTCGACAAGGGTATTACTCTCCCTGAAATAAACAAGATTATTATTATAACTTATTGACTAAAATTAAACACACTATTTTTGGGATTAAATCCTCAATCCTCAAGTCCTCTATCCTTAAATCCCTAATAACACACAAGAGTTCGGCAACGCACTTGTAGTTACTCCGTTGGTATTACATGTGTCCATGGACGGCGATGATTGCTTACCACCAGGTAATTCGTCTGCTCGTTAACCAATATATGACATAAAAACTTATATTATCAGTGAGAGATCCAGTTGAATAAAATTAACCTATTTTTATAAATATCTAGCTTAACTATGTTAACTGACACAAAACTATTGACAAAATTAATACAGCTTAGAAGCTAAATCAAAGTCAAAATCATTTATTCCAACTAAATCATAAACAGGTACTTTTGAAACGTCAAAATAGAAAAGTATTTTTAGTCTGCTCGTCAGTGACGCTAGGTGCTAGTTCCAAAAAGATTTTTTTTTACTTGCTATTAACTAGTGCTTGACTGCAATCCCACCTGATGGTAAGCAGTGATGCAATCGTTAATGGTAAGGCGCACTAGTTTATTAAGAGCCTATTTATTCACTCTAGCCTTGAAGACACTAAAAAGTAGATTCGAATGGAAAAGAACGAGCAAGAATCTCCATTTTAGACATCTTATCAAGAAAGTGCGAGCATAATGGACAGCATTATTTATTCTTTCACTAATAAAAGGAACAAAGATTTTTAAGTTAAGCCAAATATCTTTAAAAGGTTTAAAACTTTATTTTTTACTCGTAAGGTCTAAAATTCAACAAAGGACTGACTGATCGAGTCTACTGACCTGATAGCCAGATTAAGTACATTTCTTTGGACGGGACTTACCTATCCTCAGAACTGTAACTCCTGTAGCCCTTAGATTTGTATGGTTCATCTCGCTTGTATGAGCTGCCAGATCCCCTCGACTTGGTCGAACTTGCTGATGAACTTGAAGACGAGGTCGATGATGACGACGACGATGATGAAGAACTCGATGAAGAGGATGAACTGCAATGAAAATTATGATTAGATAATGTCTAAGAACATATAAATAAGTGTGGGAGAGCCAAGCTTCGGCATGAATGGGTCGGCTCGACCAGAGTGATACCACGGCTTCTCAGAAAACCGAAGTGAAACAACCTCAGCGTTTTGTTTCGCCGTACGAGTGAGGTTACCGGAGACCTTATCTTTCCCCCTTCTCCTACCCCTTCCCAATCCTTAAATATCCGAAACCCTTATCCCTAAAAGGCTGAGCACGCACTCGTAACTCCTTTGGTGTTGCGGGTATTCATGGGCGGCTCCGATAGTTTATCGTTAGGTAATCCATCTGCTCGTTAGTCGACCTATTTCATTAAAAAACATAGTTAAACGACTTTAATCAAATAAGAACACTAAGTAAATGTTATTAAAGTTGATTTTTAAGTTCCCGACTTAGAATAGTAAGAATGTTTAGTTATTTACAGTGTGAATGTTTGAAGAGTGTCACCGAAACATGTGCTCAGTCGCGAAATGGTGCCCGTAACCTAATTGCGTAACCCAACGCCTTGTGGCAACACGTGGGAGCCAGTCACGTGACAATAAATGGACATTTTCATATTAACAGAAGAATATTTTGAATTTCCTCTATCATATTCTTTTTTTAAATAATATTTTATAGATACTCATTTATCGAAAAATGCGTAAAAAAAATGGAAATAATTATAGGTATTTGCAATAAAAACTTTTTTGATAGCAATTGGGTTGTTTCATATGCCAAAATAAATTAATTCGTTGTTTCATTACAATAAAATATTGAAAAATAACTATACACTAAATTTTTTATATTTTTAAAACCTATTTTTTAAGAAGTAAGTAAGCTATTTGATGCAAAAGTGCTATGACGTCATAATTCGGATGTTCATATAAAAGTATCGTTTTAGACGTTTGGATAAAAGTATTGAATTTGACTAGTTGGAAACTACCGTATTGACACATATGTATTACTGTGAGACTGTTGCGCAATTGCTATGTTGTACTATGTGAATAGAATAGGCCAAAACATATGTACATGTATACATAATATACTCGTGATCGGTCATAAGATGTAGGTTACGTAAAGAATCACTGCATTCGCGACTACAAATTATGTCACTGAATTTCTATTAGGATTTTTACTACTATATAGTAGTAGTAGTATAATTAGTAAGGGCTAATTTTTCAATGGTTAGATAAACGTTATCTGGGGAATAATTATGATGCTGTCGCGTCAGAATGTTTGCATAAGACAGTGACAGCAACAATTTTTTTTCTTCAGATTACATTTATCTGATTATTGGAAAATCAGTTCTAGCGAACAATCGTGTCATCTTAATTTGTACTAGCTACTTTCGCGCGGTTTCACCCGCGGCTGGGCTCCATTTGATCGTAACGTGATGTTTTATAGCCTATAGCACTCAGGAACATTGTAGCTATCGATCAGTGAAATAATTTTGACAGTCCGACCAGCGGTTCCAAAGATTAACCCCTACATATAAACTTACAATATTTTACCTCTTTATAATATTAGTATAGAAGTATAGAAAACCTTGCTACACCATGTTTTAAGGCAATATTATAATAATCATGGCATGTTTTTTTTATGAAAAAGTTTTCTAAAATTGTATGTAAAAATGTTTACAATCATTTGCCAAAATCGATGTTAGCTAATAAACTAAAAATATCATGTATTTTATACGACTCTTCAATATAAAAAGAATACCAATACTGTTTACCTCCTGTAAACTTTAGTCAATATCGAAATCAAATGTAAATTCGTAGTTTGTTAAGTATCAAACAATGGGAAACAATATATGGGACAAATCAACACATGTGGACAATTATGGTTGGTAATCATAATATTAACAGCTAACTCTACAGGAGAGCTAAAGTAATTTGGACAAAGTATGTTTACAACAACTTTATGGCAAGCTGCTGAACAAATTAAATAAATAGAATGTATTTCTCTTACCTTGAGGTGGACGAGTCTGAGCATTCGGAAATGGTTGGTTTCCGTAAGGGAGGGGTCAGCGACTTGATGCTCTTTCTCTCGTTACCGTTGACAGGAGGTGTCAATTTTATTTTTTTGGCTGCAGGACTCTTTGATCGAGTGTCCGTTTGCCTGGAGCGAGATCTTTGCGATCTGTTCTTGTATGGCGACCTCGATCTGTGCTTCCTCTTGTAAGGAGAATCTGATCTCTTGTATCTCCTGTAGCCACGGGATCTGGATCGACTGCGACTACGACTGTGCGATCTTCTTCTACGCCCTCGCGATGTAGACCTCGATCGTCGCCTACTGTATTTGGAGTCATAACGATCTTTAGATCGAGACCGGTCATTTTTATAGACTCTTGAATCTTTATGTTTAGACACTATTTCCTTTGTTTTTCTACTTTCTACCTGTGGCTCACTGGTCTTCCTTGGTATACTACTTTCACTTGATACAGACATATCACTGTCGTTCCTTTGTCGCGCTGGAGGTGGGCTCGCTTTCTTTTTGAGCGTGCTCACAGCTGGCAGCTCAGTGAATTCTGGTTGTGTATCAGTTTGTATACTTATAGTACAAGTCGATGGTTTACTTCTATTCTTGCCTAAATGTAATATGACCTTGTCTTCACCGTGTTCAGCTTTAGGATCATACTCCCTCACTATTGTAGTCTTAACAAAGCGTTTCTCATTTTGAGACTTTGTATTCGTCGACTCAACCGATTCAATCTTTTCGGGAGCTTTCTTCATGACGACGTCTTGGATACTCGAGAATAACGAATTGGACAAATTTCTCGTTTCGACCTGTTTCTCGACACTCTTCAACGTCGCCGTAATATCTTTATAACGTTTTTTATCGATCTTTTTGTCAGTGTTATCTTCAACGGTACTGCTCTTACCCCTCTTCACATTATCAAACACATTCTGTTTTAGTACGTGATCGCTTTTTTTAATTTTAAAATTAATCAGCGATTTTGAGTCTGTAGGTGATATAGCTTTTACTTCAGGCTCTTCTTGTTGACAAATTTTATCATCTGTATTAATTCCCACGCTAACTAAAACGATTTCTTGATATAGCCCAGATTGTTGTGGTTTATCAGATTGCGGTGGCATCGGCAATATTTCTGGTTGAGCTTTCCCTACTATTTTCAGCATTTCAGCCTCGCTTATGAGAGGCTGGAGCTGAAGATTCTCAACTTTGGGTATTTTGCTCATAACTATTATTTCATCCCTTTTTCGGAGCGCCTCCGCTTTCTTTTTGTTAGTATTTAACAATATTTTCCGTGAAGCCTCCTTGATAGGATCGAACCATTCTGGTTCGTTGGGCTTAGGAATATTATTTGAACAGCCATTAGTTGGCTTTATGACAGGACATTTTGGTATTTTATCCTGGCCAGGACTGGGCATATCGGGGAATATTGCTTCGGGACTTACTGTCGCCGAGCTGTTGTTCGAACTGGCTCCTTTCCTCAACTTATATTCTTGCAAATTCAGTTTTTTCTTTTTTTGAGGTTGTTCAACCTGTTTCTTTATGGCAGCTACCAACATACACTTGTTTAGTTCTTCATCAACTGGCTTCTTCTCCGGCTTGAGTTTTATCTCTTTGGGAATTTGGACGTCTTGCTTATTACTAAACAAGGCGGTATAAAAGTTGTCCTGTTTGGGACGGGGTTCCTTTATATTAGCAGTCTCTATATTATCCAAAGATTTTACTTTATGCCTATCTAATTTTTTTGAATGTTTTTCGGTTTTATCTAAATTTATCGTTTTTTCACTATCACTATTTTTACACTTTTCTACATCTTTCTGAGAGTCTACGTGATCACAGTTAAGTATAACTTTAGATTGGTTTTTAATTAGTAATTTAATCCTACCATTAGAATTTTGACTAATATCACTATCAGCTTCAGAAGCATCTTTGTTCATCACAGATTTTTTAATATCTTTACAACTATCTGGTGCACTTAGGGGTGGGGACAGTTTTCTACGACAGTTCGACTGTACGGTTGGTTTAGTATTGTTCTTTTTTTTAGAATCCATTTCATCTTTCAATTTTTTTTTGTCTTTAACACTACTATCTTCTTCGTCACTACTCACATGATACACTATTTTCTTACTTTTACACGACCTATGCCTAGAATTAAGTAATCTGTTATTCGTAACTACATCGGGTTTGAGTAAACTTTGTCCTCCCTTCAGTTTAGGCTGGCTACTTCGCTTTTTCGGCGAGCAGTAGTCATGATCCGAGTGCACGGGGCTCGGTGACCGCCTGCTGGACACATTAAGTGGTGTAGGCGGCATCTGGAATAACGCACTGCTTTAGAATATTTCCTTCAACCTACAAAATAAGCAGATGCACAACACTGAATGTACTCACCAGTATTTGCCGCATTTTATTCTTATTTAATTGCATTCCAGCGTCTTGAAGTCGCGTGCCGTTGGACAAACCAGTTTTATTTGAACTAGGTTTGGACGCTACAGCCACAACTTCTGATTTATCCTTCTTTGTATTGATGTCTTCAGACGCTTCAAACTGTTCTAACAAAGAATTCAAATTATTGGCTTCAAGCACTGGCATAACTGAATCGTTACACGATTCTACATCAACAAAATCTTCTAATTCGCCTTTTGAATCTGTCGGTAATTCCTTCCTATTTGTAGCCTTTTCTATACAAAAGTCTAGGACTGTTTGAATTGGTGTCGATGACCTATTCAACGTAGAGACAGGCGAAGAAACGGATATGGTAGCTTCGAGAGGGCGCTCAAGATCCATATCTTCGATACGGAAATTGTCCTCTTCTTGCACATCCTTCTTATCAGTAATAAGAAAGCTATTCACATCTTCCTCCGTTAAAGTGTGATACATTTTAACACTATTATCTAATTTGTCTTTATCATTGTCTAAGCCTAGGTCAGATAAATCAAGGTTCAAATCTTCAAAGGTCATACTGGTTTTGACTTCTTCGATATCCATACATATATGCGGTATAGGTGATTGCGGCACCGAACATGACTTTTGTACGTGCCGTAATTTTGAAAATGGCATATCTTCCAATAGATATCTTTTTATGTCTTCGATTTTTGGCAAGGCTTCTAATTCTTCATTAGATAAATTTGTGTTTTTATTGGATACAATTTGATCCGCAATTTGTTGATCCGGATCGGGTACCACGGTGTTACTTGAATCTTCGATTTGTTTACTATTTTCTTGAGTAACCGGTATATAAAGGTCGTTACTATGTTCTTTAATAATTTCTTCATCAGGCAATTTAGGGAGGAAATCGTTAAAGTTCGCAACTGGAAGCGATATACCCCCGTTAAAATACTCATCATCGTCGTCACTAACTTCAGGAACGTCTTCCAGTATGTGTTGATTTTTTCCTATAGAAATATTGACATTTGAAATTACTTCACCTGATTCCCTTTCTGGATATTCAATAGCTCTGATATCAGTACCATTAGCAGTTTCTACTTCTGTCTCTATACCTTCCTCCTCGTCATCCTCCTCGCACATCAACTCACAGTTTGGATTAACTGTAATCACTGTGTAAACTGTATAATCGTCATCTTCTATCAGACAATTCCCAACTTCCAATGCAGTCGGTAAAGACTTCGATATTTCTATTTGTGTGCCTGTTTCTTCGTCCTCTACTTCGAGGACTTCTTCATAATCTAAACTAATGTCCTGTTCCTCAACCGCTTCATGTTCATTCTCTTGCACAGCAATTTCCTCTACATCCTCTGCGTTTTCTATACTTTCTTCCGGCTCGGAACTTTCATCGTCTGAGCTACTACTACTATTTTGACTTGTGTTACTTATATTAGTCTGAAATAAAAAAGAAGGAAGTCAAATGAGATTCCTTGGCGTCTTTCAACTATCTTATTTAAGTGCTTTTAAGTTTGTTTACTTACTTCATTTTCGTCACCATTGCTGTCCACAGAATGCCTCAGTTGTGGCACACTGATTTGAGTGGAGTATTCTGGGCTATTTTGGTTTCCACTGCTGCTTTCTGACGACAGGGAGTCAATCTTCATACGCATGACTTTGTGCCCAATGGGACGAAATGGAGCCTCCCGATACGTATAAGTATTAAGAATGTGCGACTCCATGTCTGTGAAAGAAACATATTACGTTAAAAATAAAGTCGATGTACATCTAAAACCTTCCAAACAAGGCCATAACACAAAGATGATGTGTTTGATTTATTAGAAAGCACTGCTGCTCGGCTGAATTAGTGTGTTTATTACATAGTTCGGCAAACGAACCGACGAACAAACCTGGTGGTAAGTAATCACCGCGTATGGACATTTATCATATTGATAGTGAGACCAAAGGACTACTACATACAAGGGCGTTGCCGGCCTTAAATACTTGCCGAAAGGCTTGGTATCCCCATATAGAACATGGCATAGTGGCAAAACTGTAGTGGTTTTCTCGAACTTTCGAACCATAACTTCTAGGACGTCGAACAAATTCGAAATGAAAGTAAAAAATGACTCACATTAAAAAAAAACACGGATGTGTGAGTTTTATTATTAAAATGCGATTTGGTTAATACGAAATTCGCTATTGTCAAACAAGTATCTGATAGTAAACGGCAAACGGTAGCACGATAACGATAAGAAGACTGAATGGCTGACAAAAAATAAGGTCATAGGACTTTCAGATTACTTGTTTCAAAATCTATCAATGTTGCCCTACTTTTTAGTATTTTAAACGAATAGATACTTCATGGACACAATAATATCTGAACTAACTAGAAATGTAGGACAACTAATACCCTTTATACAAATATAAAAAATTGGAGACTAGCTTCGGCTTCGGACAGGTGCAATGTTGGTACCTTTTTAATGAGTGTAAAATCTTCCGCTTCAATCACACTCATCTTCCTGCCCTTGTCCCGTTTTATTTGGGGTCGGCGAAATATGTTTTTTTCTTCCATTCTGTCCTGTCACTCGTCACGCTATCGCTAACTCCTCTGTCTTCCATATCACTTCTCACACAATCCATCCATATTTTCTTTGGTCTCCCCCTCCCTCTCCACCCATCCACATTTATACACAATATATTCCGCTTCAATCACACTATCTATTAATAAAAAACCAAATCAAATTCCGTTACGTAGTATCAAAGATTTAAGCATGCATAGGGATAAAGGGACAGAAAAGGCAACTTTGTCATATATACTATGTAAAGATATCAAGTTGTTATCCATATGTAAGTAGGAAATATTAACCAAAATTTTATCAGCAGTCATTTGATAAAACATTGACATACTAACATAAAAAATTAATGAACAAATTAATAATTTCGCAATTACTATCAGTAGTTACGTAGGTGGGTAGATGGCAAACCCCAATGTCTTATTTGATAAGATTACAAGATATTACGAAGACGATTACTAATATTTATTTGTCATCAACTCTTAGCATTTTGATCCAATTGTTTTCAATTTAATGATACAACTCTCAGAATTGCGTATTATTTATATTAATATGCTACATTTCGCCACGAGTTTCAATTCCATTCCTCTGTGTAGAATTTCATTCACATTTGTCCAGTTGTTTTTACGTAAAACAGATACAAACATGCATACACCCCAAAAAACCTTTATGCATATAATACCTACTAGTAACTAGCATGATATTACTGGAATGAATTTATCTAATACTAGCTACTCTCGGTTTTACCCGCAGCTCCATTTGATAGTAGCGTGATGTTTTGTAGCATTATAGCACTCAGGAACATTGTAGCTATCTATCAGTGAAAGAATTTTGGCAATCCGATCAGCAGTTCCAAAGATTACTCCCTTTCCCTCTTTATAATATGAGTACTGATAGATTGAGATGTTTTCGAATACAATCAGTTATCAGGTTTTCGTGACTGACGTGTATATTGCGCATAGCGTAGTAACTAGTAAGCAAATACGTTGTAATATCTAACACTTCGATGCTATGTAATGCAACAATGTCCAAGTACTGAAAATTTTTGTATTATTCAGGGTGCCACTTGAAAATCAGGGTGCCACCTGAAAATCAGCGTTGAGCATATTCGCTCAACTATAATTATGCTGAGGTGGAGGCCCTTTTGGCTTATTTTCGTTTTTTTTCTTTTTTGATACTTTATATGTTATTCTTGTTTTGTTTATTATTTTATTATTGTATTAATAAATATCTGTGCTCTTATTGTGTATTTTTATACATATACTTGTATTTGTGTGCCTATTTGTCGAATAAATGTGTTTTCTTTCTTTCTGTATGGGGGGAAAATCATCATATGACTTCTCCCACCCTTTTCGGTGCGAGAGAGAGTGTTAGGCTCTTACTGACTCAAAAACTCAAAACCAACCTCCTCCTTTTGTTCTAAGCCGGTGCCGCGGTGAAATATTGCGCTTGACCTGCACTCTGTACTTTTGTTGCCTACTATGATGATACAATCCAAACGGAAAACTTAGATGATCAGGCACCATATTAATCTAGAGTACCTAGGTACTAAATTCACATTTGATTCATGACGTTAAAAAGTTTACTATGACCACAAACAACGCTAAAATAAATATTAAACTCGGAACTACTACAAATACGCAAACGTTTTCAAATCAAAGCAGTTTTAATTCAAATCTTTATCAAAAAATAAACCTTACGCTTTTGGCGCTAGTGTCGACTTTGAGGAGAGGAGATACAGACGGAACGCAAAATACGTTAGTTTTCAATGTCAGTAGGTCACTCTTAAGTCGACATAGAAAACTATCTTATCATACTTAGCCTATATTTTAGTTATAAAGAAAATAAAAACATTTGACATAGGCATAATTCGTGCAACGAAAACATTAAGGATGAGATAAACTATCCTGGAGGTGTCTTTTGAGGAGGAGTTTTCCACCTTTAACTGCGTCCGTGGTATTTTTAGATTTCTCCCAATGAATAAATCTATTATTTAGCAGGGTATTATTGAATTATTGGGACAGAAACTATGCTATCTTAGTCTTACACCCAGTTTCCGAAAGGCCGATCAATGTCAAAATCAATTTAATCCCTTGTTAAGTCATCTGATTGGTTGACTGTATTATCAACAGCCAATCGGATGACTTGACAAGAGATTTGACACCTAGTTAGTTGATTTAAACATTGAACGGGTTTTCGGAAACCGGGCATTAGTCTTTCAAAGGTGTACCTTCAAAAGGCGCAAGAATTGTTCTGACTGATCTATTAGTTTTAGAGTCTATTCAATGAAAATGGGGATAATGGGGTAGATACACTATAAAGAAATAATGAGTCATAAATGACTTCATAATGTTTAAATATTGAATCAAAATTGTAAAGACAAACCAGACTAGGGCGGCAACGGAAACTATCGAAAAAAGATCCATATAAAAAATAATCCAATCTCGAAGGGAATACGTCAAAAAGAATAATATGAAATCTAAGCTCAAGTATAACAAAACCAGCTATTTATCTATGTATGAAAATGAATAGATTGAGCTTGTGATGGAGAGAAGACACGAAAGGACAAGACTAGCTATTAATCTTTATATATAAAAATCAATGCCACTTTCTATTGTAATGTTACAACTTAACAATGTCCTTACCGATTTGGCTAATATTGGTCTTGAATTATTCGCGGAGGTCCAGAGAAAGTTTGTATGTAGAGAAAATAAAAAAAAACTTGAAAGTGGTATAATCGACATCCACGCTGATGGAGCCGCGCGCGATACTATATTCTTAGCACAAGAAGGTGTTGAAGAAGATCGCTAGGTTCTTGTATGTCCTTAGTACGGTGATAAGATCGCCTTTTCACAAGGAGATAAAAGAGATATTTAACCTATATATGTTATGTTATTTTCCGCATAATCAACTGCGCAGATACAGCACGTAGACTGGAAAAAGGTTGATAAACCGTTCAAGATCAATGTCACATGCGTAGTGATAAAAGCAATGTACTGATATAGGTGGATCCAATTTCTACTTTATAACTTCGAGGTAGGATCGAAAATCGAATGAATATTGAGTGTTTAGATATAGGTTTACTGTCTAGGGAGCAATTATTTGCGGTGGAGATGGCTGTTATTCGATTGTTTTTATATCTTTGAAAAGGTAAGCAAGCAGTTCCTAAGTTCCGTGACGGGCATAGAGCTTGTTGACGATTAAAAAATTGATTGAATGATTATTCACGTAACACTAATAATTGAGAACCAATTATAAGATATAATAACTTGCCAATTTCTAGGAGATGTGAACACGTATTAGACTTAGCGTGTTCTCGCCTCCTAGAAATTAGCGTGAAACATACTTAATTTATTGAAAATAAAGACTTATTTTCAATTAATTACAGCTATTGTTATACGAACAACAAAAACAAAAACCTATAGCATATTATTTAAAGCATTTCATAGATTTATTTGTAATAAATAATCTTATTGATGATACTTTTGGAATAATCGACTTTATTTGGTTAAGTTCCGTTAACGCGCACGTGGTGCATAGCGTCTTGCGGTCCGTATTGAATACATTGCTCGTAACGTTTGAAATGCGAGGGCGATGACGCTGTTTGCTGCTGCAATGTACGACAAACGCTGACGAAACTAGGCTTTTGGTTCGTTTTTGCCATTCGCCTCAGGAACCATAAAACAGGGATAAATCGCAGATCTCCTGTTACCGAGAATTTTACACTGAACAAGCTCAAATAGTTATTACATTGCCTGAGCCAAAAAGAGATACAATACACGCGGTACGTCATAATACTCTCAAATATCATTCACATTTATAACAAAGGAATAAGGTTCAAAATAAACAAAGCGCTGATATCGGTACATTTTTACAATTTAAAGGGACTTTCACAGATGGTAGAAGGACACATGTCTCATCTTTTGTTAGTTGAAAACAATAACAATAGAAAGATGGAAATAGTTGAGTTCTCCACACAAACCGCACCTTTACGTAACAAGTATTAAAGTCGACATTTCTATAACAAGGTTAAGACCCTAGTCAGGTAAAAGCGAGAAACAATTGCAGGCTATTTGCAAAGGAAAAATGCGTTTGGTGGGTAATGTTCAGGTACAAACACCCCACACACAGATTCAAAAGCAAAAGCGTCTTCTGTATGTATGCCAAT